CTCCAGCCCCCCGGGCCCCCTCTCAAAAAAACCTCAGGGGGGGAGAGGAGGAGGTTGTCCCTCCCTCGAAAGGGAGAGGGGTTCTGGAAGAGAAGAGACCTCCGTCGGACCACCCACGCCCAGAGGGCTGGTGGCTTCTTGCCGCAGCGTCGGCGCTCGGGGCCCCACCCCCCCCAAGGCAGGCTGACGAGGCGCACGACGCGTGACGGTTGCCCGTGTTCGGCCTCCCGGGGCGTTCGCCGGGCCTCCTGGACCGCACAACGACGCAGGGCCGGCCTCCAGGGGGAGGAGGAGGAGGGGGAGGGGGAGGAGGAGGAGGAGGAGGAGGAGGAGGAGGAGGAGGAGGAGGAGGAGGAGGAGGAGGAGGAGAAGCCGGCCTCCAGGGGCGTTCGCCGGGCCTCTGGACCGCACAGCGACGACTCGTGACGAGGAGCCGGTCCCAGCCCAGGGCATTGGCGGAGACCTCCTGTGATGAATTGGTCGAGTTCCTCGCGGGTTTCTTGGATCGGCGCTGGGCCCCCCTTGTCGGCGCCTCTGGCGCCGGCCCTGACGCGCTCCGCGCGCCACGGAGGGGGGATCCTGCGCCGATCCAAGGAAACCGCGCGGACCGCAGAAGGGTTAGTTTTATGCATGTAGTTGTTCCTCTGACCTCGTCCTCGTTGGCGAAGACGGCCGCCGCCACGGCAAGGTGCTCAGCGTAGTCGCGATGCAGGTCGAGTCAATCTGCTCGGCCAAGAGACAGGCGGTGAAGGCCTCAGCGGTCGGTGTCGCGGGAGATCTCCATACAACGGTGCGACTCAGGTCGCGCGCTCAAGGCGGGCTAGTATCCAGGGGTGGGGGGAAAACGAGGTTCCTCCTTCCTTGCTCCTCCTCTGCGACCTCCTCATTGGAGAGGCAAACGAGTATGGTCGGACTGTCGGAGTGGGAAGAGCACTATCCCAGATTTACCTAGCCCCCACAGTTGCGCATAAGAGCGAGGGGGTGGGGTGGTCGGCGGCAGTCTGCGAGGCTCGAGGGAAATCCTGAAGAGGCTGGCGCGGCCCCGCGCGGCTCTCAGGAGGGGCTAAGGGCACTGCCGGGACTGGCGGAAGGGATAAGTCGGCGCTCCGATGGCCTGGGCGGTCCGGCGCGGCCTCTGCGGAGGGACAGATGGTGCTGGTGGGGGGACCGGTGGAGTGGGAAGAGCAAGCCGCTGGTAGATAATGGGGTGCTCCGATGGCCGGCGCGGTCTGGCGCGGACTCCGAGGAGGGGCAGGCAGGTGTGTCGGGTGCGGCCGGGAGGGTGTGAAGTGTGCATGCGCGAGGAGGGGCAGGCGGCATGCACTGGGAGTCGCGCAGGCGGGAAGTGTCAGCATGCAGCCCGGTGGGGAGGGGCAGGGTATCCCCGCACTGCACGGACGGCAGGCGACGAGGAGGGGAAGGGACAGGAGGAGGGGCGGTGGTCATGGAAGGACGTGGGGGGGGGCAGGAGGTGTGGGGGGCGAGGGGCCTCTCGAGGAGGTCCGAGGAAGGTTCCCGGGGGAGCCCACTCCTGCCCCCCCCATACCCTTCCCCTCGCTCGGGAGCCCCGCAACGGGCCCCATGCTTCTCCTCCTCCTCCTCCTCGTCCTCTCCTCCTCCTCCTCCTCCTCCTCCTCCTCCTCTCCTCCTCCCCCTCCTCCTCCCCCTCCTGCCCTCCCCCCCTCTCCACGAATCGACTTCCACAAGGATGGCGGGGGCTGGGGGGAGGGGCGGGCACCCCCCGCTTCCTCCCCCCTCCCCCCCGGCCCTCCCTCCAAGGGGGTTATTTCTTGTTTCGACTTCGTGCCAGTGGCCGATCGGTGATATCTGCAGTCTGGCCGGCAGTCGTCTCCTAATCGTCTCCCCTTCCCGCCCTTCCCTCCCTGCTCCCCTCCCCGGCAAGCTTGCTGAAGCTTGCCTTGGGGGCCAACCAGCGCCCACCTCCAGGCAAATTTAAAACGAGCTCGTGAGGGTGAACACCTCCTCTATGCCAAGGGCAATGATGCGGTTCTTGATGAGCTCTTTCCAGTTTCACCTTTTTTTGTCAGTCCTTGCAGAATGTGCCTGTTCCCCAGATCCGAAGATCGGCGTCTTGTCATTCCCCACATCCAATGTGGGGTTCTTGTTTTCTCTGGACACTCCGCACAGGAACAACAACACCCTCACATCCTTATCATCACCATCATGACCGTCACCATCAGCACAGCGTCATCATCATCACCACACCATGTCCCCACTCTTTCCAGCATCGTCATGACCATTATCATCACCATCATCATCATCATCATCATCATCATCATCATCATCATCATCATCATCATCATCATCATCGTCATCGTCATCATCATCATCCTCATCATCATCATCAGCATCATCATCATCGTCATCATCATCAGCATCATCATTAGTATGATCATCATCAGTACCATTGTTCCCATCGTCAACAACAGCATCACTATCATCATCATCGCCCACACACTGACACACTCACGCACTCCTCCTTTTTCTCTTCTCTTCTCTTCTCTTCTCTTCTCTTCTCTTCTCCTCCTCCTCCTCCTCCTCATGCTTTCCTCCTCCTCCTCCTTCCTCCCTCTCCTCCTCCTCCTCCTCCTCCTCCCCTGACCTCCTCCATCTCTTTCATCATCATCATCATCATCATCATCATCATCAGCAGCAGCATCATCATCATCGTCATCATCATCATCATCATCATCATCATCATCATCATCATCATCACCACGAGACCCTCACTATGGGGTCCGCACGTCATGTTACCAACCCGATGGGGCCATCCGATGTGAGTGAATAGCGAGGAAGTCTTGAGCTGGACCTCCTCTTTATGGGGCCTGGCTTTATGCTTCTAATTCGAACGGGACATTGACAAAATTCACCAGGCGTAGCACTTGAGCACCCCAATGGGGCAAATCGTGAGAATGTTTGGAGCGGGAGCTTCGTCTGTGAGTGAATGGCGAGGAAGTATCAGGCGGGAGGGTCCATGCTATGGGGCCCACACTTCATGTTGGTAACTCGAGCGGGTCATCGGCAAATTCCACCAGGCATCGCATTTAAGCATTCCAGGATGGCAAATCATGAGGGCGTCTCATGCGGGGTCCTCTTCGGTGAGTGAATTTCGAGAACATATCAGACGGGAGCCCCCTACCCACAGGGCCCGCAGCTATGCTTGCATTTCGAGCAGGCCATCGGGACATTCTACCAGGCACAGCGCTAGAGCGCCCGGAAGGGGGGCACATCGCGAGGGTTGTTCACGCGGCGGCCTCGTCTGTGAATGAACGGCGAGGAAGTCTTAGGCGGCGGGGCCCTTCCTCATGGGGCCCACACCTCATGTGACTCGCCCTCGCGTGTCATCGGCAAGTTCCGCCAGGCATGGCACCCGAGCACCCCAAGGGCGGCAAGTCGTGAGGATGCCTTCAGCGGGGACCCCGCGAGCCACTTGCGAGGAAGTCTCGGTCGGGAGCCCCCTCACAGAAAGGGACGCGCACCTCCTGCTGGCCACTCCAGCTCGTCGCCGTCCTCCGCCTCGCGCCCCTCCTCCTCCTCCGCCGTCCTCCTGTTCCGCCGCCCGTGCCACCCCGCCGGGCGCCGCGACTCTGCCGGCCATGGCCCGCAGACCCTCGCCGCCCCGCCGGGCCCTCTCCGCGCTCCGGAGGGGCAACAACACAAAAAAAACATGCGCAGATCGCAGCCCGACGGCACGAGAGAAGAGGAGAGGGGAGGGGAACACAGGAAACAGGAGAGGAGGAGGGGAGGAGGGGGGAGGAGAAGAAGGAGGCCGGGGCGACCACACTGCTCTATTCAAAACGAGTACCCAACCATAGGAGGGTTGGGGCAGATCATGCTGGTCATGCTAGCGAGTCGCCAGAACATTTTTCCAGGCGTGCGTGGCACTTGAGCGCCCCAAGGGGGGCAAATAATCGTGAGGGTGCCTCGAGCGGGGGCCTCGTCCCTCGGGGAGCTGCGAGGAAGTGTCATTCGGGAGCACCCTTTCCTGTGGGACCCGCACTTCATGTTGGTAACGCAGGCCGTCGAAATATTCCAGGCGTAGCACTTGAGTACCCGAACGAGGGCAAATCGAAAGGATGCCTCGAGCGGGGGCCTCGTCTGTGGGTGAATTGTGAGGAGATCTCAGTCGGGAGCTCCCCCACCCCCCTATGGGGCCCGAGCTTAATATCGGTAACTCGAACGGGTCATCGGAATATTCCTTACTAGGACTAGCACTCAGCGCCCCAAAGGAGTAAATATAAGGATGCTTAGAGCGGGGGCCTCGTCTTTGAGTGACATGCGAGGAAGTACTGGACGGGAGCCCCCCCTATGGGGCCCGCAGCTCATGTTTGCAATTCGAGCGGGCCATCGGAGTACTTTACCAGGCATCGCACTTGAGCGCTCCAAGGGAGCAAATCGTTAGGATGTCTCGAGCGAGGGCTTCGTCTGTGAGTGAATCGCGAGGAAGTCTCCGGTGGGAGCACCCTCCCTATGGGGCCCGCGCTTCATGCTCGCAATTGTTGTTATGGTTTGGCTCCTGAGGAGTCGTTCTGAAGGACATCTCGAGCGGGAGCCTCGTTTGTGAGTGAGTTGTGAGGAACCTTCAGGCGGGAGCGTCCCCTCTATGGGGCTGCCAGACCATGTTCGTAATCCGATCGGGTCATTCAGAAGTTGTAGATTTCGTTAATTCTGGGCTCCTGAGGAGTGGCACTCGAGGAAGTCTCGAGCGGGAGCTTCGTCTGTGAGTGAAGTGTGAGGAAGTCTCAAGCGGGAGCCCCCTCGCGATGGTGCTGCCAGATCGATCATGCAGTCCGAGCGGGTCGTCCAAATCATGTAATTGGCCTCCAGATCCTGTATGTGTTGGGCTTGTCCCCGCGGCTTGATCTAGCGCCCCAGCGGCCCGCGGGAGTGGTCTCAGTGACCTGGTCCGCGGGGTTGCCGCAACGGCTTCGCGACCCGGCTGCCGTTCGCGGCGGCGACGGCGCCGAGGAACGTCCACATGCGTTCCTGTGCAGATGGTGCGGGCGAAGAGGTGCACGAGGAGAAGAGGCCGCAGCAGTAGGAGGAGGAGGAGAAGGAGTAGGAGAAAGACGACGAGAAATAGGAGGAGGAAGAGGAGGAGGAGGAGGAGGAGGAGGAGGAGGAAGAGGAAGAGGAAGAAGGAGGAGGAGAAGAAGGAGGAGGAGAGGGCACCGAGGGAGGAGGATGTGACCTGGGAGGAGGAAGGGAGAAGGGGGAAGCTGATCATGATGATTGTGATGCTGCTGATGATGATGATGCTGATGATGCTGTTGATGCTCATGATGCTGCTGATGATGGTTTTGAGGAGGATGATGCTGATGCTGATGCTGTTGTTGATGATGCTGATGCTGATGCTGATGCTGATGCTGATGATGATGCTGATGATGATGATGATGATGATGATGATGATGATGATGATGATGATGATGATGATGATCGTGAGGAGGAGCAGCAACAGGAGCAGCAACAGGAGGAGGAGGAGGAGGAGGAGGAGGAGGAGGAGGAGGAGGAGAGGAGGGAGGAGAGGAGGGAGGAGGAAGAGGAGACTCCACAGGAGGAGGAAGAAGAGGAGAAGGACGAGGAGGAGGAGGAAGAGGACGAGGAGGAGAAGGAGGAGGCCGAGCAGGGGGCGGGAGGAAGGCCTCCGCCAGAGCGACGAGGAGAGGGCGAGGTGGAGACAGCAAGAGGGCCTCGTCTACCACGGGGACGACGGTGAGGGTTCCTGTAGAACCACCTGGGAGGATTATCATGCAGGGTCTTATCGCCGGAGTAGTCATTGAGACGCCTGCGGGCAGCATTCTCAACTATATGTTCCTGATCCTCCTCTTCTTCTTCGCTTTGATATGACCCAGGTACGCGTACTCAGACCGCTCACACCAATCACGGGGTCCATCACCGACCCATTCTGTTCACGGGGTCCATTACATACTAATTGTCCTTCACGTAAACACAGCCACGTCGCTCCAACACGCAGGCTTATTCATACACAGTATGACTTTCTCACTCCGACACTCCCTTCCTCACCCAGGCTCCCTCAGACTCTTCTGATGATCCAGTGCTCACTGCGACATAGCAGGCGTGGCACTTGGGCCCCCCAATCGGGGAGCCGCCAGGGTGTATGACATTCGCCCGTTCGCGCCCAGATTGTGGGCATGTGTCGGGCGGCTTGCCTGTTTCTGCATTTCCCCGCTGCTGTGCTGTCTCTTTTGGTGGCCCACTGCCCGCAGCGGTGCAGCAGGAGTGGCACTTGGGCACCCCAAGGCGGAACCGCCAGAAGGGTGTGACATTCGCCCAGTCGCGGCCAGATTGGGACGATGTCTCAAGCGGTTCGCCTGCTCTGCCGCCATACCTTTTTTCATTCGGTGGCACACCGCCCACTGCGAAATAGTCGGCGTGGCACTTGAGCACCCCAAGAGGGGAGCCGACATTGCATGTTTCACGGGCCCGTTCGCGCCCAGATTGTTGGGATGGTTCAAGCGGCTTGCCTGTTTCTGCCCCCCCCGACTTTGTTTTGGTGGGTCAGTGGTTGCCGCGTTGTGTAGCAGGCGTGGTATGTTGGGCACCCAAAGGGCGAGCCGCCACAGGGATACTTATGATGACACCCGCCCGTTCGCGTCCAGGTCGTAGGGGTGTCTCTCGAGCGGTTTGCCTGCTTCCGCCCCCTGCGAGATGGCAGGCGTGGCACTTGGACATCCTTAAGGGGGGGGTCGCCAAGGGGTATGACATTCGCCCGCTCGCGCCTAGAGTGTGGGGAGGCATCAGGCCGTTTTGCTTGCTCCTGCCTCCCAGGCGTTCTCGTGCGGCGGCCCACTGTTCGCAGTAATCAGGCATGCGTGGCACCGGGGCGCCCCAAGGAGGGGCCGCCAGCGGCCATGACACTCGCCCATTCGCGCCCTGATTGTGGTGATGTCTCAGGCGGGTTGCTTGCGTCTGCCCCCTTTGACTTTCCTCGTTCGGTGGTCTACTGCCCTCCGCGAAATAGCAGGCGTGGCAATTTTGCACCCCACAGAGCGAGCCGCCACTGTATGTCACGGGCCCGTTCGCGCCCAGATCGTGGGGATGTATCAGGTGGTTTGTTCGCTGCTGTCTCTCAGACTTGTTTGCTTGGGTGGTCTAGTACTCACCGCGATCTATCACGCGTGGCATTTGGGCATCCTAAGGGGGAGCCGCCAGACTCCAGGACTCGCCGCAGATTTTGAGGATGTCTCAGACGGTTTGTTTGTTTCTCCCCTCCAGGCTTCTCTCTGGACTTCTGTGCTCCTGAAGCATTCATTTACCTTATCTGCCTGTTCCCCACTCAGCCCCAATCATTCATATTCATATCTACTCCTCAGCACTTGTTACTCATTCAGAATCCTCTATCACATTCATATTCACCCATACGCCGACTCACTCAGAATGATACCCGTTTGTATTCAGGTTCTTTCATGTGCAAACTCGGACAGGGTCAGGAACACAAAACGAACTCACATTCTGATTCAGTCAGGTTCAGGTTCGCCCACCATCATACTCGCTCATACTCAGCCTACCTCGCACTAAGGTTGACTCATTTTCAGATCAGTACGTATTTCACTCATACTCAGACTCGTTCGCATTCAGACCCGCTCGCACTGAGACCCACTCGCGCTCATATTCGCTCGCGTTCAGATCAATTCTGCCCAGATTCGCTCGCACTCCGACTCGCAGACGCTCAGATCACTCACGTTCAGATTCGCTCGCGCTAAGTCTCACACACAGGCGGCTACCGCGGTATATACGGCGTCGCATTTGGGCGCACTTGATGCCAGCAGGCGCTGCGAGTAGCACGCCAGACAGCAGGCGTAGCAACGTCATGCGCGCTTGCCTGAGCTGCTGCAGTGAGAGCGGCAAAATGAATCCCTTCTCGCACTTCCACTTGTGTTTCCCTCGTCTCTCCTGAAAGATGTCCAGGAGAAGAGGACTTCACAGGAGTCGTCGCTGTCGTCGTCGTTGTCGCGCTTGCCGTCTATGCGGGCTCTCACACCCAGTTGCTCACAGACAGAATTCTTCAGCGAGACGTGACAAGAGCTATGATGTGCACACATGGGGGCCACCCGTAGAGCAATAGTCCGCTGGCGCGTGGTTAACGGTCGCTACCTTGTCCCCCCCAGGTAACGGTGGCAACCATCGTACTTATAGGGCCCGCCCCCCCCCCGTCCCAACACATGCTGGTGCTCAGGCGCATATGCACGGCGATCGCAGCGCACCCCCGCCCTGACACGTTCCACCCCACTCCCGGCCCGAAACTCCTCTGGTGACGATCGGTACCGGAACAAGGCATATGAGATACGAGCATACATGCGAATCAACGAGGAGCCGTAGTACGATTCCACACATAGGCTGATATTTTGGATGCGCTGCGTTGCAGACTTGTCGCATATTCTCCTTCCCCCGCCCGCCCCTCTCTCAGCGATCGCCTACCCCTCGGGGAAGGGGCGCTCCTCGGCTGCGGTGCGGCCGTCCCGCGGCGGCCGCCACGTGGGCGACGAGAGAACACGGGGTCGTGCTGATGGGCTTTGGCGCGCAATCTCCCCGCGCAGCGTACAGTCTGGGCGCTGAAGAAGGAACATTTTTCGTTGGGGAGGGGTTCGGTGTTCCTTGATGTTGTCACAGTTTGCCTCAGGTGTTCCTGAGGTTTTCCATGTGACATCGATGTTTAACTTATGAGAGAAAGGGGCCTCGTTCCTTATTTAGGGTTCCTTAGGTCAACGCCCCGACTGTAGCGCGTAAGCGCCCCCGATTCCAACATAGCGTGCTGCGCCCGCGGCCCCGGTGCGCCGCGGCGTGCGGTCGCTTTGCCAGCTCGCACGGGGCCCGTTCGTCCGGTGGGCCGCCGAGGGCAGGCGCAGCGGGCGCCCACAGAGCCTCTTCGGGGCGGGTCCGGGGCAACGTTGGGATGTCGAGTCAAGCAGAGGCCAGGAGTCCCGACCTGCCCACAGGCCCACCAAATAATATCAGTAGTCTGAGTGCACGCTGTAGTTTGCACGGGATGTTCTTCGAATTCTGCAGGCTGGGACATTTTGTTAGGAGGCCTCGGTTTGTCATGCTCTATGGGCACTGTGCTTGTTATGGGAGCATTATTTGTTTCTGCGGGCATTTGGTGATAGGCCTACAGGGAAGCCTCGACGGTCGGTCTCTGTTCAATTAGGGGGGACGGGCTCAGGGGGGAGGTTCCGAGATTTTCGGACGTTCGGGGTTCGAGGTTCTCGGGCGTGTTCGTCGGTTTTCGGCGGCCTCCCAGCCTCGAGATGCCTGTCAGAAGCTGCTCCTCGCGGAGAGCTTCCTGGCGGTGCCAGGTCGTCGTGAACGGACAGCCGGAGGCCCGAGTTATGTGGGACTGGCTGAGGTGGGTATCGCGTCGACACGCCATCGCCCCCATTCATCGCCGAGAAGGGCCGTGCGGATTCGCTAGCGGGGGCTTAACGTCGATCAATCGGCGATGTATCGCCGGTACAAGCTCGATGTGTCCCCTCTGGAGGTGGACGAACGAGCGACCCCCCCCCCCACCCACACACACACACACATACACACACAGACACAGACACAGACACAGACACAGACACAGACACAGACACACACACACACACACACACACACACACACACACACGTATTCGTATGTGGGGACGGAGCGCTGACCCCCAGGGGGAGGAGGGAGGGAAAGGAGGGGGTAGCAAAGGAGGACAGCAGGAAGGCTAGTGGATCACAGGAGGAGTGGCGAGCGTAGGCGGAGGAGGAGGAGGAGAAGGCGGAGGCGGAGGAGGAGGCGGAGGAGGAGGAGGAGGAGGAGGAGGAGGAGGAGGGCACGGGCAGGAGGAGGAGGAGGAGGAGGAGGAGGAGTGGAGTGGAGGTGAGATGGAGGTGGTGAGGAGGTGGAGGAGGTGGAGGGCTCGGGGAGAGGAGGAGGATGAGGAGGAGGAGGAGGGAGGTGGAGAGGAGAAGAAGGAGGAAGACAAGGAGGAGAAGGAGGAGGAGGAGGAGGAGGAGGAGGAGGGGTGGAGGCGCGCGGTCTGCAGGTGAAGAGTTTCTTGTTCCCCGGGGAGGCCGCGCCCATCAAGTTGGTCTCGTCGGTAGGACACGCTCGCCCCAGGGGGTGTTCTGCTGTGCGGGCGCGCGCGCGCGCGTCTCGGCTTCGGCGCTGTGCCTCCTGCTCTCCTGCTCCCTCCAGCTCTCGTCCTCCCTCCGGCTGCTCCCTCCTGCACTCTGCCTTCTCGCCCCTTCTCTCCCGTGCCCTCCACCTCCTCCTCCTCCTCCTCCTCACTCCCCCACCTCCACTCTCGTCCTCCCTCCGGCTGCTCCCTCCTGCACTCTGCCTTCTCTTCTCTCCCGTGCCCTCCACCTCCTCCTCCTCCTCCCTCCTCCACCTCCTCCTCCTCCTCCTCCTCCTCCTCCTCCTCCTCCTCCTCCTCCTCCTCTCCTCCTCCTGCCCCTCCTCCTCCTCCTCCTCCTCCTCCTCCTCCTCCTCCTCCTCCTCCTCCTTCTCCCCTCCTCCTCCGCCTCCTCCTCCACCTCCCTCCTCCTCCTCCTCCTCCTCCTCCTCCTCCTCCTCCGCCTCCTCCTCCTCCTCCTCCTTCTCCTCGTCCCGCGGGCTGGGGCGGCGGCGGGGGTGGGGGCTCGGCCGCGGGGATGGTCGCAGCCCTTTCTGGGGCCACAGGCCATGCCATGCCATCCCTTCTCCTCGCTCCTCCTTACCTGGGTCCTCCCCCCCCCGCCACTTTCTCGGAGGTGAAGGAGAGATGGGGAGGAACCATAGCACGCCAGAAGTATGGAACAAACTGTCCAACCGTCTGAGGGAAGGGTCCAACACTGCAGAGGGTGCTCTAAATCAGTGTCCCCCGGAGCCCGAACATTTGCGTCCTTGGCCCTTTCGGGACGCCCTTGGGGCGAGCCATTCAGGAGCCGTTTTGGGGAGCATCTTGGAGGCGTCCGAGGGTGGGCTTGGAGGTTCGGAGGGTCCAGGCTGATGAGCAGGGGAGCTCGTCGACCCCCCCCGGTATTTTGGACCCCAGGGGGAGCGGGGAAAGGGGGGAGGAGGACAGCCAGTCCTCTCACGCGTTCTTAGACCAGTGTTTCTCATCGTCTCATCGTGTGTGTCTGCCGTGCGTCTTGATCACCGCTCCGTCCTCCCTCGCTCGCGCCCCCTTCATTGCACCCTCCTCCTGCTGCCTCCTCCTACACTCCTCTCGCTCTCTCTCCTACTCCTCTTCCTCCTCCTCCTCCTCCTCCTCCTCCTCCTCCTCCTCCTCCTCCTCCTCCTGCCTCCTCTCCTCCTCCTCCTCCCTCCTCCTCCTCCTCTTCCTCCTCCTCCTCCTCCTCCTCGTCTTCCTCCTCCTCCTCCTCCTCCTCCTCCTCCCTGCTCTTCCTTTCTCTCTCCCCTCGGCCGTAGCTCGTGACGGACGCGCTGTGTTTGCCAGTACTTCTCATCATCACTCCCCCACCCATCCCTCCTTCCCTCCTTCCCCTCCGCCCCTTCCCCCTTCTCCCCACCCTCCTCGTCCCTCGGTCCTCCTCTCCCCTCCGTTCCCTCCCCTCTCCCCCTCTCTCTCTTCCTCCCTTCGTTTTCCTGGCGCCTTTTGGCCGCGCGGTGCCGCGCTCCTCCCCTGACTGTCCAGGAGGGTTCAAACATAGCACCAGGACATCGACGTCAAAACGCCACCCGATGTTTTAGGAAGTCCAGATCGGTCAATGGGTCTGGAGCGGAATCTGTCTGCACTCTGACAGGTCGGGATCCTCCTCCCCCTGTCCTCTCCGTCGTCCCCCCTCCGTCGCTCGGGCTCGTGGCCGGGGCCACGCCTCTCTCTCCATGACCCGGAGGATACTTCATCACCATGAACCCGGGCTACGCGGGCAGGCAGGAGCTCGGGGGGGCGGGGCGATGGACGGGGGAGAGACAGCGAGGGCTGCCGAAAAAGGGCCCTTTTGGGGCCCCGAAAGGAGCCCTCTGGGGCCCGAGAGGGGGGCCTCTAGAGGGCTCGAAAAGGGCACCTTTCTCCCCCCCCATGCATCGCCACCCGTTCAGTCGCGCCCAAGGAGCTCCCGGAGAACCTCAAGGTCCTCTTCAGGAGCCGGCGGCGGCGGCGGCGGCGGCGGAGGCGACAACGTCGGCGGCGACCGCAGCGGCGGCGGCTTCTCGCACTCGCGGCGAGACCACCGGGCCGGGATCGTCCCCTCATCCTCCCCCGCTCACGCTGCAACGGCGGACTGGACCGCCACGCGGGGGCCCCCGGCCCCCGTCCCCACGACGCCTCTCCTTGCATCCCTCCATTATCCTCCGCTCCTCCCCCCCCCCTCGAGACGGGCTCCCGACGCCCGTAACATGATTTGTGTGTTTCCCCCCCCCACACACACACATCGCCTACTCCACGTGGGCACCTCTGGTCTGCAGGGCGCCATTCAGCGTAGTGTATGCACCCCCTTTGGCAACGGTGCCCTCTGGCATTTTTTTTTGTTCGCGGACCTCCGAGTTGGGGGAACGAAGAATGGCATAAACATAGCACATTTCGGAGATCCGCGCGGATTCCTCGGATCCGCGCTCCGCGCGCCAGGGGCGGCGCCAGCGGCGCCGCCAGGGGGTCCGGCACCGGACCCGATACGTGGCGTTTCCTGAACGGCCCTGGGCGTGAACTGCACAGCCCTGCCCTGCTGAATTCTTTCTGTTGGTGCGTTTGCTAAGACGGCTTCGCGTGCCCGGGTGATTCTTATGGGGAGGAGATTGTCTGCCCTCCAAGAACTTGGTGCGGCCTGGAGACTGTCCTTTCTCCGAAGCCTTCAAGTTACTCGAGCCCCCTCAAGCCGTCCTTTCTCCGAAGCCTTCAAAATTCCCGGTTAAGTCGGGCGTGTCCGTATACAGGAGGTATGTTTAAAACAAGTCACAAATAGCAGTCTGGGGACGATGTGGCTATCATTTTTGACTATTGTTCAGCCTCGTTTGACTATATTGCATTTCTCGGCCATAATCCGCCTGTCGGAGGACATGCCCGACCTAAAGGTGGGGGACCAAACAATGACGTAAACGTGATCGTTTGCTTATTCCTTGGTTTGCCGATTGGCGCGGGCCCTCGCACCACCTCCCCCCCCCCTGGAGTAGATCTGGGCTGTTTCTGGCGCTTGTTGCGAGCGGGTAGGGTCTCCCCCTTACAGTGAGCGGCTTGAATAAGGAACACTTACTTTTCAAAAGGGGCTCGGTCGTTCCTTAAGGCTTATGCGTTTTTTGTTTGATTATTTATCGTTCCTTATGCTTTTTTCCTTGGGAAACAGGGGCTTCTTTCCTTATTTATCGTTCCCTAGGTCAGGCCGATGACTGTAGGACGCGCACGGTTCTGGACAGTCGCACTGAGCAGAGGTCCTGAGCCAGACACCCCTCCCCCCGATCCCCCCCCCCCCCGTCCCGCTCAATGTCGAGGCCCCGAAGAAGAGAACGCTCACACCATCGAAACTCGAAGGTCTGCGCGGATTTGCTCGGACCGGCGCTGGCGCCCCCCCCATCGGAGCTCGGAGCTCGGAGCGGAGACTCCTCGCGGATCGGGGCCTCGGAGCGCGGAGCGCGCCAGGGGCGGCGCCGGGGGCGCCGCCAGGGGGGGGCTCCAGCGCCGATGCGAGGAATCCGCGCGGACCTCCGAGTTGATGGGCCTGATGTGCACCACCACCACCGCCATAAGTTGGAGGGGGGAAGGAGGTGGAGGACGAGGAGGAGGAGGAGGAGGACGAAGAGGAGGAGGAGGAGGAGGAGGTCGAGGAGGAGGAGGAGGAGGAGGACCCCCTGCCCCTCCAACGTATGGTGGTGGTAGTGGAAGACAGGCCCATCACGAGTTCTTATGTTTATGCCATTGTCAGTTCCCCTGCACGACTCGTCAAACATAAATTTCAGTTGTTGTGTTTGGCGCTTGCGCGGTCGGCGCTGCTTCAATGCTGGCATGAGGCGCTTGGCCGTCGCGCAGGGATGTCCGAGATTCGGCAGTGCCCCCGCAACATTGAAGAACGCGTTTTCTGACAAGTGCCCAAACTATCGGGCCCTTCGATGTTGAACGACGTTTCAGGTACGGTGGGGGGCGTTCGTTAAGGAATGTGCCCATGAGGCTTTAGACCCTGGAGCGTTCCTTATCTGATGAGGGCGGCGATGATATCCATGGCCGATCCACGATTCGAGTTCCACCAGCTTCCAGACCCTGGATTCCTTACGTAAGGGTTCCTTCCCCACTGCCCCCGCCTTAATTTTTGACGAGGCTTGTAGGAGGGCGTCCCCGCCCCTCCCCCAAAGCATCGCACCCGAGCGTTCCCCCAGCCCCTTCCACCCCTCGGGCCTCTGTCCTGGCAGGGGCTGGCTTCTCGCGGGCCCCTCGCCCCATCCAGATGCCGCTCCCGCGGCGCATCTGCCGTCCTGGTCAGGCCTCCCCTGGTGTCCAGCGCAGGGGGACAGCGGGAAGAAACAACAGCATAAACGCCGGTCGTTGAAAGTAGGTATTTTGGGATTCCCAAATCCCAATCTGCTTTAAGCGCCTTCCTACTTCAAGAATCGATGTGCGTTCGCTGCATGTTGCTATTCTCTTGGAGGGCCTGCCACTTTATCCGCCTTCCTGCTTACTGTTTTTTATCTGCTTCTTCCGACCGACGTGTAAACATACAGTGTACCCGTCGGTCGGTGAAAGTGCATTCGGACCGAGGAAGAATCGAAGAAGAAGAAAAGCACCATAAGCATACAGTTGAGGCGTTGCGCGCGGATTTCTTGGATCGTGTTTGTTGGATGTTCTTGTGCATCCTGGCGAGGGTACCCTTGGATGCCCTGTCTGTCTTGGCCGACGGAGGGTCTCATGTTCTTGAAGGATGTTCTTCTGGCCTAGGTCCAAGTGTACCCGTCGGTCGTTGAAAGTGGGTATTTGGAGATCTCCGGATCCCAATCTACTTTAGTCGCCGTCCTACTTCAGTCATCGAGTGGCTTCACCTTTTACCGCCTCGTCAGGGGGCGGGCGGAGGCCCAATCCACCTCCAACGACTTCCTACATCGTGTTTCTACCCGCTTCTTCCGACCGACGGTTGCAGTCGTCGTCGCCCCTTCCTCTCCTCCATCCCTTTCTCGCTCGACCGCCAAACAGGCCGAAGAGGCGGTGGTGTGACGTAATTTTTGTGATTTTCGATGGTTTCGTGGACTGAAAGCCACGCCGCTGAACTGGTGTGAGTATGCTCGTGACGCGCCGGCATGGCGGAGATGGGAAGCTGAGTTTTGCAGGCTGCAGTAGCGTAGCGCCACGGTGCTTTTCCCCCCCTCCCCGTATAGTGGGATGCGGTGGTCCGTCAGTCCGTCCGTCCCTTTCTCGCCTGTCGGCTCCTCGCTCTCCCGCCCGTGCCTGGCCCGCTCCTCCTCGTCGGGCCGCCTCGTGGTCCGCAGGAGAGTTGCGGCGGCCCGCGCCGCCACGCTGGCGAGTATCGCCGGGCCTGCTTCGTCAGCTCTGCATCGGGAGCCTTGAGACGGGGGACAATGCAAACGGGGGTCAGCCAGAGCGCCCCGACCTTGCAGGATCCTGCAGGGCCAGGGTCGCATTGACCCGGGTTTGGGTGCAGGATCCTGCAGGATCCTTCGCAATGACCCGGGTTTGGGCGCAGGATCTTGCAGGATTCTGCAAGGCCTGGCTGACCCGGGTCTGGATTGACCCGGCTCAGAAGAGCCCCGACTGCAGTTTTCAGAACTGTCAGCAAGCATTTGGCGCGTCGTGGCCTCCTCGAAAAAGCTGCTGCAGAAGCGTACAGTCTCGGGCGGGTGGTACTTGGGGGGGGGGATGTAGACAGGGGGGGCTGAAGAAGAAGGGCTCTAAAGGTGCCCTTTTGGGGCCTCTTTTGGGCCCCTGCTGGTTCCAAAGGGGCCCTTCAGGGCCCCTTTTAGGGTCCTTCCCTTCACCCCCCCATTGAAGTCACTCCCCACGACTGCCTTCGGCGGCGAGCGAGGGGATTCACTGAGAAGGAGACGGCCTTCTCAGAAGGCGGCGGGACTTCTCAGAAGCCCTCGCGCCTTCTGAGAACTGTCGTTTGTCTTCGGAAAGGCTTAGGAAACATCTCAGAAGGCCGGGGGACTTCCGAACCTTCCGACAAGGCCTTCTCCTTCTCACTTCCTTCCCTCGCTCGCCGCCGAAAACCCCGCCCGACTGTCGGGAGCTTTGGCTGAGCGTGTCGCGCCGACGGCTCTGGCCCACCAAGCTTCGGCGCCCCCTTCCAGCGGCAGCGTCCAGAGCCTTGCGAGGCCTCCCGCCCTGCGGAGCGGAGCGACACGCTACCCGCTCGCTGGGCATACAGTGGAGGCCAGTCCAAAAGAAACCTTCCACACGAAACCTAGCCTTGAGACCCCAGGACGTCCGGTGAATAGTTGGTGTGGGAATGCCGGGAACGCCACGCTTTCCATGGCAGGAGGATGGAAACCCAAGAGACCCAGGGCACCCTGGAGGCAAGCAGGGTGATTCCTGGCATGGGCCTCCACTGCTGCTCCTGCTTGGCGTGCTGCTGCTGCGTGCTGCCGAGGCGACACGCCGAGCAACAGCCCCCTCCGTTTCATGTGTGGGGGGGGGATGCTCCTCCTTGCCGACCCCTCGCCCTCGGTGGCTGAGTGGTTGGTCGTTGAATATCGTTGCTTCGAAGATTCACACACGACATGCGCGCGCGGCCGACGGCCCTGAGTGGACCGCATGGTATTATTTGAAACAGATCGTGCCCCCCCCCCCCCCCAGGACGCGCGCAAGGGCGTTCGCATTCGACATGCGCGCGCGTCTCATTCGATGCAATGCGCAAAGACTCCCGGCTGTAAACTCTCGACGGTCCGCGCGATGCGACATCTGCTGCATGCCGCTGGTTTCGGCCCCGCCGCCGGGCCCAGTCCTCGATATATACGTGGGCGCCTCCCGGCGGCCGGGAGGCGCTGGGAACATCAGCTGCGTGAGCTGAATCTCCTCCCCACCCTTATTTCAGGAGGGAAAAAAACACACAGACACAATTAATCGTCGATCCCCCAGAAAATATGGGAAAATATGGGAAGTGGTGGGGAAGACAAAAACCGAGAAAATATAAGAAAATATGGGGAACCTTTGTATTTGTGTGTATTTATTTGTGTGTCCCAGGGCCCCTTCATTATTGCTGTCCCCCCCTCTCGCTCCCCCCGACAGGGCCAGGGAGCCCGGGGTCCGGGGTCCAGCGCAGATCCAAGAACTCCTCGCGCGCACCGTCGACAGTCCATGCTCATGGATTCATCCCGGCCCTCCGACGTCGAATACAGTCGGGGCCCTGAAGAAGGAACCCTCTTCGTTGGGGAGGGGCTCCGTGTTCCTTAATTGTTTCGCAGCTTGCCTCGGGTTTCCTTTTTTAGGTTTTCGATCGGAAACCGAAGTTCAACTTATGGAAAATAGGGGCCTCGTTCCTTATTTTGGGTTCCTTAGGTCAACGCCCCGACGGTAGTCTAGATGTTCGCGGCTTTTGCCCAATCCTCTGGCCTCGTGCCAGGATGTCGGCGTGCACCCAGGCACGGGGCCGGAGACTCTTGGGGCCCACGGGATGAGGACGTCGGTCCGCCTGGGTCTCGCTGAGCCTGGCAACGCGCGCCTGTTCTGCAGAGGAGCGTCGCGATGATGGTGCCGAACCGCGAGACGATCATGAAGGTGAAGCTGGCGGCCGTCGGGCGCGCCCGCAGCCTTTTTGCCGTCTCTTCTGCCGGAGGCGTTTTGTCTGAACCCCCAGCCCCTTGTGCTTGGCCTGGCCTGCCAAGGGCAGTGTCCTGCGGAGCATATAATGAGCCAATTCTGCTTTGCTTGGCGGCGCGCACAGGGGGGTATGGGGGAGGGGGGAAGGCTTCTTAGAAGCACCCCTGCTTCCTAGAAGGCGCGGGCCTTGTCTACAAATGTAAGGCCGGCGCCTCCTAAGAAGCAGCCTCCTTCTAAGAAGCCTTCCCCCTCTCCCTGCCCCCCTCTGCGCGCCGCCAATTTGCGGAGCTCTTTCTTGTAGGATATTCAGAGGGCTTTGAGGAGGAGGGGGAGGAGCCCTGGCCCAGGATAGGCAACGCGGGGGGCCACGACATCTGCCGCATGCTGGTTTCGACCCCGCCGCCGGGCCCCTATCTTCGATACGTGGGCGCCTCCCGGCGCCAGGAGGCGCCAGGAAAACCAGGTACGTGAGCTGATTCTCTACCCTACCTTCGGATGCAACTCCTGGGAGGACTGATTCTGGTTTTGCCCTGGTCCGAAATCCGGCCAAGTCCGGCTTAATCCCGTTAGGTCCCGCTTCATCCCGCCTAATCCGCGGCTCAATCCCGCTGAATCCGCGGCTTCATCCAGCGCAGCACCCCCCCCAATGGGGCTCCATTCTCCCTAATCTTTCCGTCGAGGGCAACCTCCCAGCAGCTGCCTCCCAACTTAGGAGGAGGAGGCGGAGGAGGAGGCGGAGGAGGAGGGGGCGGGGGAGGAGGAGGCGGAGGAAGAGGATGAGGCGGAGGAGGAGGCCGAGGAGGAGGAGGAGGAGGCGGAGAAGGAGGAGGAGGAGGAGGAGGAGGAGGCGGAGAAGGAGGAGGAGGAGGAGGAGGAGGACGTGGAGCAGGAGGCAGGAAGAGCAGGCATGGAAGAGAACACATGAAGAGGAGGAGGAGGAGGAGGAGGAGGAGGAGGAGGAGGAGGAGGAGGAGGTGTCCCGACTGGCCCTCGTGCCGAGTGCCGTGGGCGACCCGCCCCTCGCTCCCCCCCGGGACGCGGGGGCAGAGCGCCCCCGCCTCCTCGGCAGGCCGCCCCTGCCAGAGCACGGCACCCTCCCCGGCCGCCAGCCCTGCCCCTCTCTTTGGGGCTCCCCCGGGGCTCTGCCTCGCGGCCGCGCTCGGGGCTCAAGCGACGGGGGCCACTGCAAACCCAGATAGCCCACGACGGCCTCAACACGGCTCAAGAGGTCTCCAAGACCCCCCCCCCCGAGCACCGATGGGCGGTCTAAGCGGGAAAAACAACGAAGTAGCGGGCTTTCGCCACCCACGGGGCGCCCTTGGCCCCGCCCTACCTGCATGAGCTCCTCGCCAGCGTAAGGCACTTCCAAGACGGCGTGAGAGAGGCCCAGACGGGACCGAAGACGGCCCAAGAGCGATCCAAGATAGCCCAATATGACTTCAGCACAGCCCAAGAGGCCTCCAAGACACCCCAAGCGGCACCCGAGAGGACCCTCAGAAGTGCTGAAGGACGAATAAACAATTGTTGCCTTTAGGTGTATGAAGGTGTTCCAGCTCCTCGCCTTTTCGGGCAAGAACGGCCCGATACAGCTCCAGAGCCCCCCGAGATTGTGCCATGACGGTCCGAGAGGCTCCCAAGAGAGCCTGAGGACGGCTCAGAAGGGTCCCAAGAGGGCCTAAGAGAGCCACAAGACGGCCCAGGGAGGGCCTTGTAGACGCCCAAGATGCTCCCAAGAGACGGTATGTCGTCATCATCATCATCATCATCATCCTCCTCCTCCTCCTCCTCCTCCTCATCATCATCATCATCATCATCACCAGCATGATCCTAATCTTCATTCGTCTTTTATCACTCTAGTGCCTTCCAAAGATACCAACACGCCCTGGCTCCCCCTCAAGAGGCCTCCTGCAGCTTTGAGATAGCCCGAGAGGGCGGCGGGGAGGGGGGGCATTTTCCTTGTCACGGGCCTCGTCTATCGCAGCAGGCACGGCTGCCACTTGCACATGCTGGTGTTGGCCTCAGCTGCAACCGCGGGGAGGATCCGTTTGTGGAGGTGCGGAAGAGGAGGAGGAGGAGGAGGAGGACAAAGAGGAGGATCATGAGGAGCAGGGGGTGAATATGAAGGAGGAGGAGAATGAGGAGGAAGAGAGGCAAGAGGAGGATAAGGAGCATTGGCGGAAGGAGGGAGAAGGTACGCGTCCATGGACATGCTCGGCAAGAAGTTCTGCATCCTCTACGCGCTGTGCGAACAGCAGCTGAGCAAGCAGAGGCACTACGATTTCGGCTTGAGGAGCGCATATGTGTATGTAGAACGGCATATATGTATCCAGTGTGTCTGTACGTATGTATGCATTTATGTGTATGTATGAATATGTGTATGAATGTGGGTATGTATGTATGTATGTATGTATGTGTGTTTGTGTATATGTGCGTGTGTGTATGTATGTGTGTATATACGGATCTACACACATACATACGAATGTATGCATGTGTATATATATATATGTATTTATGTAGGTAAACGTGTACACGACTATGCATGCGTATGTGTATGGTATATATATATGTATATGTATGCTGATGTGTATGGATATGCACCGTTATTTGTATACTGTATATGCGTTGTTATCGTTCCATGTGCATGCGTATGATTACGCACGTTTGTATGTATGCATCGATGTATGCATGTATGTACTTATGTTGGCATGTACGTATATACAAACGAATGTATGTGTGCATGTATGACTGTGGCTACGTGTGGATGTATGCATACATCAATGCATGTATGCGTGCATGTGGGCATCTATGCATGCACTGTTGCACGTGTGCACGTGTGTGCGTATGGACGTACATGTACGTATGTATGCATGCATGCATGCACGTGTATATATATATATATATATGTGCATATGTATGCCTGTATGTATGTATTCGTGTATGTACGTTTGCATGTGGGTGTTAGGTATGTATGCATTCATGCATGCATCTGTGTATGATTGTATGTCGGTGCGTACAATAATACATTTACACATGTACACAGCTTGCATGTATATACAACTATGCATACACATATATAGACATATATATATATATATATATATATATCGGAGGTTGGGGGGTGAGATCGAAGTGGAACGGAGAGCCCCCCTACCGGGAAATCGATTTCGGTTTCGTGTTCGTGCGTGCCGTGCGGGCGAGGCGAAGCTGCGTGGGCGGGCGAGAGAAAGTCTCCTGTGGCTGAGGCGCGGCCGGACCAAATGTCTCCCTTCCGGGCGGCCGGGGGCCCGCGGTGTCCCGCCGGTGTCCCGCTGGTGTCCCGTGTGGCTGAGGCGCGGCCGGACCAAATGACTCCCTTCCGGGCGGCCGGTGGCCCGCGGTGTCCCGCCGGTGTCCCGCTGGTGTCCCGTCGGTGTCCCGTCGGTGTCCCGATGATGATGATGATGATGATGATGATGATGATGATGATGATGATGATGATGATTAATGGTGCTGAAGATGATGCTGATGATGATGATGGTGATGATGATGGTGGTGATGGTGATGGTGGTGATGATGTTGATGATGATGTTGATGTTGTTGTTGATGATGATGACGACCCGTGTTGATGATGATGATGATGATGTTGATGATGTTGATGATGATGATGACGATGACGATGACGATGATGATGATGATGATGGATGATGATGATGATGACGATGATGATGATGGTGATGATGATGATGATAATGGTGCTGAAGATGATGCTGATGATGATGATGGTGATGTTGATGGTGGTGATGGTGATGGTGGTGATGATGATGTTGATGATGATGTTGATGTTGTTGTTGATGATGATGACGACCCGTGTTGATGATGATGATGATGATGTTGATGATTATGATGATGATGATGATGATGATGATGATGATGATGATGGTGGTGATGAGGATGATGAGGATGATGAGGATGATGAGGATGATGAGAATGATGAGGATGATGATGGTGTAAGCAACTCGACACCGACGCTCCCAAGAGCGAGCGGCAACGCAACACTCTCCATTGGCATCGTCACGACAACAATCACAACTGTTGCCCATTGCTGGGACCCTCCCCCCCCCCAAACCTCCTTATCACCCGCAGGGTGGTCGTATAGGTATATATATACACACACGATCACACATGTTCATAACTGTATAGAGGGATAGATCGATAGATAGATCCCGGGAGACGGGGCCGCGGGGAGTTCCGGCCGCGGGTCCCAGCACGAACCCAGAGAGCTTCCAGAGGCCCCAAAGATGGTTCCAGAGGGCCTCTGAGTCCTCCAGCGATCGGTCCAAGGTGCCTCAGATGGCCCTTGGGCGTCCTGAAACGCCTTCCAGACGTTCGAAGGGAATCCAAATAGCCTTCCCACAGTGGCCTCAGGCGGCAAACATCCAGCATGTTGTACGGTCTTCTAGATTTTCAGCGTTCTCGCTTTCTGGAGCTTCCGATGCTCCCAATCGACACGACAGGCCCCAAAAGACCGCTCCGTGATAGCTTAAGAGGCCCCCATGACCGCCCCCAAACGGCCCAAGATGGCTCCGAGACGGCACAAGATGGCACAAGAGGGCCCCAAGACGACCTCGGGAGGGGCCCACGAGGGGGAACACGAATGGGAAGCCCGAGGTTCCGCCGCAGGCCGCTCCCAGGAGGCGCCCAGGAGGCGCCCAGGAGGCTCCCAGGAGGCTCCCAGGAAGCCCCTGGAAGACCCCAGTGGCCTTCCTACGGGGGCCTCGGGCAGCTATCACAAGGAACTTTGCTGTTTGCTTTTCTTCGGTCTTCGGCGCTCTCGCCTTGTCGAGCGTCTCATGATCTCCATCGGCACGGCAGGCTCCAAAGACCGCTCCCGGACAGCCCAAGAGGCCCCCATGACCGCCCCAAGACGGTCCAAGATAGTTCCGATACGGCCAACGAGGGCTACAGGACGACCCCAAGAGGGGCCCAAGGAGGGACAACACGAATCGGAAGCCCGAGGTTCTGTTGCAAGATGTGCCCAGGAAGCGCCCAGGAGGTCCCTAGAAGGCTCCAAGGAGGCCCCAAAGAGACCCCGATGGCCTTCCCAAGAGGGCCTCAGGCAACAACAACTAAGCATGTTGCCTCGGTATTTGGGGCTATCAGCGTTCTCGCCTTCTCAGGATGTTCATGCTTCCCATCGGCACGACAGACCCCGAAAACCGCTTCAAGACAGACCAAGAGGCCCCCATGACCGCCCCCAAACGGCCCAAGATGGCTCCGAGACGGCACAAGAGGGCCCCAAGACGACCTCGGGAGGGGCCCAAGGGGGGGAACACGAATGGGAAGCCCGAGGTTCCGCCGCAAGACGCGCCAGGGAGGCGCCCAGGAGGCCCCCAGGAGGCCCCCAGGAGGCCCCCACGAGGCCTTCGAGAGGTCCCCTACAGGATCCAGAACAGCCCCCAGAAAACGACGATCACGACGACGACGACGTCGGTGGCGACGGCGGCGACGACGACGATGGTGCCCCAGGGACCCTCCACATGCCTAATTCCCTTGTGAGGACGCCGAGGCAGAGTAGGATGAGGCACTGCATGAGGAGGCGGAGGACGAGAAAGCAGGAGGGAGGGGCGGCGGCGGAGGAGCGCGCCGCTCCCTCCCTCGGCTCTCTCTCTCTCTCTCTCTCTCTCGTTGTCTCTTCCCTTTTTTTCTCTCTCTCCCTCTCTCTCTCTGTCTCTCTCTCTCTCTCTCGCGCAGCTCGCCATCGCTCTCTCTGTCTCTCTCTCTCTCTCGCTCTGTCTCTCGCGCCGCCCCCGGCGCGCCAGCGGGCGAGTCGAGGCCCGGCCGCCGACGCGCAGCGTCGGTCCGCGGGGGCGCGGCAGCCTCACGCCGCCAGCCCGCGCCTCGGTCTCTCTCTCTCTCTGTCTCTCTGCCTCTCTGTCTCTCTCTCTCTCTGTCTCTCTCTGTCTCTCTCTCTCTGTCTCTCTCTCTCTCTCTGTCTCTCTGCCTCTCTGCCTCTCTGTCTCTCTCTCTCTCTCTCTCTCTGTCTCTCTCTCTCTCTCTCTCTCGCGCACCTCGCCATCGCTGCAGCCTTTTTTTTTGGCTGGCGTGCCGACCCCCCTTGTGTTCCTTCTCCCGCCACGCTGGCCAATCAGACGTTCGGCTCTCTCTCGATGCTGTGCGCGCTGGCTTCCCTGGCATTTTCGGCCCAGGCAAAGGAGTGCAGACACACCCCAGGTCGTGCTCGCGGGTGTGCTCCGAGGCGACCGCGAAGGTCGCGCCCCGACTCCAGAGAAACGATCCGATCGGTTTCTAAGCAGCAGACTCTCTCTGCCTCTCTCTCTCTCGCGCAGCTCGCCACCGCTGCAGCCTTTTTTTGTTGGCTGGCGTGCCGACCCCCCTTGTGTTCCTTGTCCCGCCACGCCGGCCAGTCGGACTTTTTCGGCTGCCCCGACGAGCCGCACGCTGGAGCGTGCCTCGCCGCCGACGGAGCAAGGAAGCGTTCCCTGTCCCCGCCTCTCCTCCTCCTCCTCCTCCTCCTCCTCCTCCTCCTCTTCTTCCTCCTCCTCCTCCTCCTCCTCCTCCTCCTCCTCCTCCTCTTCTTCCTCCTCCTCCTCCTCCTCCTCCTCCTCCTCCTCCTCCTCCTCCTCCTCCTCCCTCCTCCCTCTTCCTCCTCCTCTTCTTCCTTCTCCTCCTCCATGGCTCCGCCTCTGCGCCCGACGGGGGACCGGGCCCCGCGGGGGCCCCAGGGGCCACGACCTCGACCACAAGTGCGCGGACTGGGAGCCCGCCTCTCGGGGGCCCAGCATCTCCTCCGAGGGCCGCTCGGCAGCCGTCGCGGCGGCCCAGGACGGGCCCGCGTCACCCCCACGACGCCCTCCAGAGGCCTCCGACGGCCCCAGGGTTAGGGGGCAGGGGGAGGGGTAAAGCCCTCCCCGAAAGGAATAACGGAAGGCGGAAGAGGAAGCTCGCCAAACAAATCACGCCATGAAAAGAGGCTTGCGGGATCTCTGAGCGCCTGTGTTAGGAAAATTGTTGAACGGCTTTGTCCGAAGGCGTCAAGTTTTACGACGTCTCGGTGGTAGCAGCAAGTACTGCGAGCGGGTGTGTCGGAAATGGCGTTTCGATGCGCACGGGTCATTGTTCACTCTTCGAAACGGAAGCCTTGCTGGCACGTGTGAAAGACAAGGTTGGTTTGACGATGTAGTGAAGACGCGAGTTCACGAAGGTACGTAACCATCTTGGTTCAGTGTGCCCGTCATATAGGTTCAGTCCGGGGCCATTTTACTCGGGGCAGGCCTTCCTGCTCCGCCTGGT